CCTGGTACTCAAGTTTTCTACCTCCCCTTACAAAAAGGACTATGAAGTCTCTCATGTGTCAGAAACAGATATATACAAGAAACAGTCTGTGCCATTAAAAAAAAAAAAATATTCAATGGCTATGCAGGCTTGCTTGGGCTTCAGTTGAAATTAAAAAGTAGTCTGATTGATGTATTATTCATTAGCTTGTAATCAAATATCATTTTAAGATATATGGTGACTTGATATGCTTTGTACAATTCTTCAGGAACTATAACAAACAGCATGGATTCTGATGAAAAAAACAAGTCATCTTCAAAAGCAATTACAACCTTTTGATAAAGGACACAGGTAATCACCATTTGATAAAGGACACAGAGCAGACACCCTTGATCAGGAGGGAAAGTCTGGGGAACGCACACAGGGAGATGTTTACATTCATAGAATAAGAAATAAATCTGTTTGGATAAAGGCAATGGCTGATCCTAATAAACAACTCAGAAAATAGAAATCTTTTCCCTCCTCTGAAAACTGAGCAAATAATCTCACACAAGTACACACACATACACACACATAAAGGCATAAATACACACACACATAAACATACAGACATACATACACATAATAAACACACACATGACACACACACACACACACATACACAGAGAGACACACTGCATTTTGTCTGTAAACTGTTTTGCGGTTTTCTGCTTTCAGCCTTCAGCAATTCCCTGTCCTCCCCTCCATGAAGAGCAAGTCTAGGAAATGGAAACAGTGTAGGTTCCCACTCAGCATGACCTCCTCTGTCTAAACACAGTCTCAGGCAGAAACAGTCCAAGGCAGTTGACAAACATTAGTGGGAGCTAACACACTTCCTCTACATGGAACTATAGCATGTAAACTTAACCTTTAAGGATCAAAAAATAGGTTCTAACACATCAATGCTGAACAGAGGAGCGTGTCTCAGATGTGAGAGAATTGTCTTGGATTTGGGTAGTGGACTGGTCTTATGTCTAGTATTTCAGAACATATGAAACGCAGCACCTAAAGATATTTGATGAAAACAAAAGGCTTCTGGTCTTTGAATATGCATGTGGGGCTTGGTTGTTAACAGTGAGGCATGGGAGGAGTGCGGAAGAGGGACAGAGGAGCAGAGGGGTTGATTTATTGATATATTTTTCAGATTCACATTCAGGAACACAAAGAGAAGAGCTGTCAGCAACACACATGCCAATGACCAAACAGCAGCCAAACCTGCCTCTTCCCGTCTGGGCAGGCCAGACACAAAATGACATCTCACAGGCTAGGAAATTCAGATATACGAGAAGCAGTGAGAAAGAAAAACAGACCTGGAATTGCCTATATCATTACTAGAGACTACCTTTTGGAATTTTAATGTATTTAGACACTGAAGGGTACCAGTCAATCAAAACTAGAAAAAGAAATGGCAAGCCTTAACACAGGCTGGCTCCGAGGCTCTTCCCAGTAGACAATAAAAATAAGAGAAAATTAATTTTGTACTCGAGACAAGAAGGCAGACACAAGACAAGTGGTTCTGTTCAGAAGAGCTGTAAGGTCCTGAGGGATGAGGAGGGTGATATGCCAGGACCTCTTCCACGGCAAGACCTTCAGCAGCCTTCTCGGGCTTACTTCTTACAGACACAATAGTCCCTCTCTAGGTCACTGATAAGACTGCATCCAAAGGCACATGTAATTCTCTGCACTGAGAAAATGCTGAGCCAGGAGCTCAGCAAATTACTTTAAAATAACAAGATCTCACAAGTATTTTTCCTTCAGTTAGGATACTAGGAGTATTAACAGGGACTCTCACAGAAGTATAATTTTTGAAAGGTTTGCATAGCTAAGCTAAAAAGTGATCAAAGATGATTTCTGTCATAAACTCATGGTCAGAATCAATTATGATGAAAATGGGTGACTAGTGGAAGATTTCTCTCTCTGTCTCTGTCTCTGTCTCTGTCTCTGTCTGTCTGTCTGTCTTTCTGTCTGTCTCTCTCTCTCTCTCTCACACACACACACACACACAGACACACACACAGACACACACACACATATGCACACACACCTTGCTGAACAGCCTATACTTGCTGAGAAGAGAGTTCTAAGAGTTTAAAAGCCATAAAAGCTGAAACTCTGGCACTCGGCTACCTTAATTTATGATGATTACACCCCAGATAGCTCCACCATGCTTTACAGTTGACAGTGCACATAAATGACTTCACTTGATCTTCATAAAAACTACGTGGAAAGGTCAGGACAGGTATTATTATCCCCATTTTATAGATGAGAAAGCTGAGTTTCCAAGTGAGACTGGTTTTGTCAGGTTTGAGGTCTACAATAAGCCTGCTTCCACAGTGATACCAACAATAACAGCTACACAGCCTAGTTAGTAGACTGTAGTAGCAGACTGCTCTCCCACACTCAGCTTTCCTGGCTAGAATACAGATACAAGTGTCATTTCAGAGACTCACGTGAAAAGTGAGATTTATAGATAGGGTCCTGGCTTTAAAGATGCTTACTATGAAGCACGTTTACACTTTAACTGCAAACAGAAAGGAGAAGGTTGCAATTTGAAAGTGTTAAATGTGTGATTTCAGACACACACAGGGATCCAATGTACATATGACACACACATTCCCAACTCCACTATCCTCCCAAATGTGTTGTTATGCTTCCTGTATTAACAGCCACACAGTACTGTTGGAAAGTGGTGAACTGACCTTGATAATCCTGTTTTAAAATACATATTTAGTAGAATGAAATGCTTAAAAATTTAGAAAATATGTCTCTTTCGCTCTTTAAAGCATGTTCATTTAAATTTCTCCAAAAGTACCTCATTTAAAATAGAGTGGGAGGGGTGGAACGGGAAAGGCAAGAAAAAACACTTCCAATCTCTAATTCATCCCCAGTCAATTTTTTTAACAAATATGCTATAGAGTTTATTGACATTACAATACCAAATGATTTGTGACAACTAGAAAAAAAAGAGATGTCTACAAAACCAACTTTTAATCTCTAGAGAAAGACAGATAGGTGCATAATCTGACTTTAGGCTCAAGAGATAAAAGACCTTCATTTATGGGCAAACATACATATCCTGAATAGCAAGAGGATGAGAGCCAGTTCCGTGGGGTCTGCATTCATTATAAACTCCCAGAAACACATCTGCCCTGTGATGAGGCACTCTCAGTACACGGCGATTAAACGATAACACTTTAAAAGAGAAAAGTTTCTCTCACGTTGAAAATATATCCATCAGCTGTTAAGACATCACTAGTCGCCAGTCCCAAATACATGTGTTTAATCATGCAACTGGTAAAGTTCAATTAACAAATAACATGTCTTCTCAAGCTAGACTCTCCGTGGAGTGACAAGCACTGTGTAGAAATCAATACTGCCTTCCAACTTGCAGCATATAATGAGTTACATCAAGCATGGTTCCAATACTAACACCATTGTATGGCAGAGACACACTGGGTAACGCGGAAACCAGAAAATTAAATTAAGTCGTCGGAATTCATTGCATAGAGCTTGTGCCCTCTGTACACCACCGCGATATGTGGTCTTTCCGTTGCCTTCTGCCATCTCATAGTCTCTGTCTACGAGGATACACCCAAGCACCAAACTCCGAGGTCTCACTCCTAAAAGAGGGGTGGGGGGAGCTAACGAAGGATTTGCTCCGGAAAACATCATGGTGAGTGTATTTCCAGGAAATCGGGCAGTCTCAACAATGAAACTGTCAAGTACAAAGTAAGTTCTGTCTTTGCATCCTGCTGGTTCAGCCAGGAGCGCGGCTCTCGTGTTTCCCGTCACCCTCTGGCCACTCTGCATTTCCATCTACACTAGGAACCAAGGCAGTAGTGGATGCGCCCTCCAGCCTTGCTGGGTTGGGTGGATTAGCCAGAAAAGTTGTAAAGCCCGGCGGGAGGTAGAGGCTAAACCTGGGAGCCCGCTCCCCAGCGTCCACCTGGTGAAACTTCAGAGCCGGCAGATACACAGAAGTGAGCGACCTACAGGCAGGATATCAAAACTGGACGGGAACAGAGACCACCAGTTCGAGAGACCCGGAATCCTGGGACTTCTCTGAGCGGTTTTACTTAGAACTCAAAGGGATAGCCTGGAATATAGCATCGCGTCTAGCTCCCGGGGTTGTCCAGGCTAGCAGCAAATATTCCCAGCCCGGGTCACCCAGGCGGACTACAGGAGGTGTGGAGCCAGCTTTGAGCTTTGTGATGGCTTCGCCCCATAAACAGGGTAAGCCTTCCGGGAATGGGAGCCCAGACCTCGCTGCCCAGGACAGCTCTGAATCTATCCTTAGAGCTACGGTCTCCGCCAACATACACAAGCAACATGCTCCACGCTGTACTCTGCAATCTATCCAGGAGCAACTCTGAACCCTCAGCAGAGGAGGAAGGAGCCTCCAGGAGGCACCGGGAAGTAGTTGGACAATAGTCAGAGGAGGTTATTCCCGGGACAAAAAGCACCTGGCAGAACACGCCGAGGTCGGTTCCTATGTGTCCCCACAATTCTCACGAAGACTTCCCGGGGAAATTTTGAACAGTCTGGCGACAGAGAGCCACCAGCTCGCTCAGCGAGCCACAGAATCGCGGTCCCGGAGCCCTAAGTACTTTTTCTTCCTCACTTCCCTAACTAAGGCTGTTCGGACTGCTCCAACTCCAGGCAATCTACAATTCACCCAGGAAAAGCAAGGTCGCCACACGCTCCATCCAGCACACCCTGGGCTGTCTGCGCGCCAGGCCAGCCTCGGAAACAATGGGTCGAGAACGTAAAAGTTACCTGTGTCCGGGGACGCACAGCTCTTGGCCCCGCGTCCCGCCTGACACAAACTCCCAGGACAGACCTGGCTCCAACCTGCACCCCCCACCCTAAGCGGACGCCTCCTGGATCCCCCGCCCCAGCAACCGCAATTAGCCAGTCCTTCCTGCCTCTGAGTCCAAGACTGGGGACAGCTACAGACCCAGACGACCCCCCTGACCACTCACCTGCTGAGAACTGGCCTTGGACCGACCCCAGGAGAGGCCACGGGGACAGGAGCCAGAGCGCCACAAAAGCAGGCAGCGCCGCCGCCGCCACATCCATGGCGAGTTTGGGAGAAGTTTCAAGCAGCTTTGCAAAGAGCCTCCGGGGAAAACGCAGCGAAATCCGCCAGCCAGCCGCCCGCCCAGCCTCGTGGGGGGCTCGCGGGGACGCCGCGGCCACCCGCCAGCACTTTCGTCCTTGCGCGAAGTCGGCCAACTACCTCGCGGACGAAAGCGTCTCCAGCGTCGCCCGCCAGCCGCGGCCACTGCTCTCCATGCTCGGCAGAGGCTGCTCAGGGTAGTCCAGAGTTACTTTGCTCTGGGAGGGACGGGGGCGGAGCCTGGGGTGACGTCGCCCTGCGGGCTCCGGCAGCTTCGGAGGAATGCAGGCTCCGGTGCGCGCCGCCGTCGCTGCTGCCGCCTCCTGCCAGGAAGACGCGCGCCAGCCCGGCCGCGCGCCCCGCGCCGCCTTTGTTCGCCACCTGGGCTCGGTGGCCGCGCGGCTACCGGGCGGCGAGCGGGAAAGGGGGACGTGGCGCAGCTCCCTGCCGGATTCCCAAGATTCAACTCTGAGAGGCAGGAGTGTGGGAGTACTGTGGGCGGACGACGGAGGAGGCCCCCGAGGAGAGACGTCCTGGGGTTCTGTCCCCAAGGTGGCGGTCCCACCGGAGCGGCTGGTGGTAGGAAGAAAAGGGAGCGTAGATGCGACCTTTAAAATGCCGACCTGCACTGAAATTTCACTCTTCCTTATTGATAGGATAAGGAATAAGGCTCCCTACCCCCTTGAAAACTTACTCCCGTTTGTTCACGAAATAAATAAACTTGGACCAAAATAAAATGTTGGGTAAGTTTCCAGTGTGAACAGCTGTCGTGCCTCATTTCTGGTTTATTTGTCATTTGCAGAATATCTGAGTTTACTTGCCGCCTGACTTTGCTTGTTGCTTGGGAAGCTCCCAGCCGCTCCGCCTTCGCGTAGCCTGGTGGAGTAGAGCGGGGTTTGCTTTGGTTTTGATTTTTACTGACTTGTAGCTATTTAAGAAATAAGTATTTAGCCGGGCAGTGGGGGCGCACGCCTTTAATCCCAGCACTTGGGAGGCAGAGGCAGGTGGATTTCTGAGTTCAAGGCCAGGCTGGTCTACAGAATAAGTTTCAGGACAGCCAGGGCTATACAGAGAAACCCTGTCTCGAAAAAACAAAAAAAGAAAAAAGATAATAAGTATTTAATAAAAGGAGTTTATCCCAACAATGAGCACAGCATGGTTGCTCCGAAGGAACCCAATGCTGTGTGCTGTGTTACAGCCAAGAAATCTGTCAGTGTTGCTACCTTAGCAGCTTGGTGTGATTAATGCAAATGCCACTCTGACTTGCTTCTGTAGCAATGCTGTATAATAGCTTACTTATGTCTGCAAATTATGACTCACGTTAAGTGTGACCAAAACTGAAGCCTAACTTTTATTTTTGAATTTTGACGCCATATATGCAACTACTAATAGTCTTGATTGGCACCTGTCAGTCACTCAGAACGTACTTAGCCTTTTAAAATCAAAATGAAGGGAAATTCAGTTTAATATTACCAAGTCACATATTTCTGTAATTAATACATGCTGTTATGTCTAAGTTAGAAAGAAAAAAGATATATATATATAAATATATATAAATAATCTAAATATATATATATATATATATATATATATATATATATATATATATATGAAAGTGGGTTTCTTTTTCACTTGCTGAGGATAGAAACCCCATTAAGCTACAGTCTTGATGACTGCTCATTAGTACCCGTAACCAGTCCAACACTTGTCAATTCAGTTCAACATAGTTCAGTCGTCTCCCTCAGGGTACAATGTAAATGTTCCTTAGCTCATTAACTTATAACTTGAAGCGCACTCTACCAAGGGTTTTTATTTCTTACACTAAGGAGCTTTGCTAGATCACAGGTAACCAAAACCTATTATTTTCTTTTCTGAAGACATAGCAGAAGTTTCTAAAATTAGCAGTAATTTGCCACAGTAAAAGCAAAAGAAACTCGTCTGTCCATATATGATTTTGTCTGTTTATTCTTGCATGAAAGATGCTCATGAGTTGGTGATTTGTTTGAGTAAGCATGCAAACAAAGCTCTTCAGAGACCTTCAGAGACCTACAGACAGTGGCTAGAACCTCACTTCTTCTTATAGCTGTTCCCTGGGACAAGAGTTAAACAATTTGGTCCATTTTCTATACGATGGAGAAATAACAGTACAGAAAGTGCTTTGGGGGTGACCAAGATGTACCAGGCATCTTAGATGGGCATTATCACATTTAGGAATAAAGTTCAGGCAATGCCATCATGGCATACAAACAAGGAAACAAGACTAGGGATAAAGTAATTTACCCAAACAAATAGGGGAGAGGAAAAGGAAGAGGAAAAGGGAAATCCTTAAAAAGAATCAACAGAGATGCTATCTCAATAAAACTAGAAGAAATACAGTGATATTTTGGGCAAGTAAATTAGACTTTTATCCTTAGGGCTCATAACTAAAGTGAACCAGGGGGTTTAGCCTCACTTTAGTAGTAGGCTGGCCTTGAACCTGCCACTCTCCTACAGTGCATTTTTTTTTCATTTTAAAAAAACACTGAAACATTCATATTCTTTTATCTAGTTGCTGTCCTGACACTAACAGAAAATATGAAAAATGTTTTAGGAACTAAGATATTTACAAAAATGTGAAAATAAATGTCCACTTATAGGCCAACTCCACTGATAAGACATATTACTTTGTAGATATCTTTCATCATACACAAAACGGAATTTTATGGAGAAAGGAAATTGCAGAAGCTAGAGTGTTTATGATCAAACACTGGGGAACTGTAGCAGAAGACAATATAGACTTTCAGGTTAGAGAAGAAAAGCCTTGGGGGGGTGTTTTAAAGAGGACTTAATGTTAAGAGCCCTTTCTGCTCTTCCAGAGGCAGAGTTTGGTTCTTAGCGGCCATGTCAGAGGGCTAACCACCTCTAACTTCAGTGCCATGATTCCTGACACCTTCTTCTGGATTCATGGAGTACCTGCATTCACAGTGCCACATCGACACACATAGGTGTACACACACATACACATGACTAAAAATTAAATCTTTTTTAAAAAGGAGAAAAAAAAAACCTGGAGAGGGAAGGCTAGTGGTGAAGGCTGTAAGGCTGTGTGAATGTATTTAGTGTCTCTGAATGACACACTCCAAGTGGATAATATAGTAAAGTCTATGTTCTATGTAATGTATTACAATAAAGCAATGACATGACATAGTTCTACAGGCAAAAACAAACAAACAAACCACAAATGGCTCAGCAGTTGAGAGCACAGGATGCTCTTCCCAAAACTTAAATTCAATTCCTAGCACCCACACGGCAGCTCACAACTAACTGTCTGTAATCCAGCTCCAAGTGACTTGACATCCTCACACAGACATACATGCAGGCAAAACACCAATGCACACAAAACGTAAGAGACTGATTAAAACAGTCAACAGCAACAACAATAAAACATGAGCTTGGTGTAGCCAGGGGCAGAATAGTCGCCTGTCAGGTTCAAGTCCCTGCCTTCCAGATTCATTGTCAGGGGGAAATATAGTATTAATTAGATTACCAGTTAACTTTGCTTTGTTAAGATTCACAGCTGCATATATCTATTTTCCTGGGTGTGTTTTTGTTGCTTTTGTCCTGTTTATTTGTTTGTTTGTTTGTTGTTGTTGTTGTAGCAAATAGAAGGATCACTTGCTTCACTTGGGGTTTTTGTTGCTATTATGTGCTTTGTTTCTGGCCTGGAACTCACTTGAAGCAATCTTCCTTCTAGGATTTCTGGTGTGGGTCGCCCTTTGAACCATAAAATGTCTTTTATTCTTTCGGATTTACCACCTATTAGCTACAATCATGAACTTAGACCTGCATTTGACAAAATGCTTCCAGTAGAAATCCAACTCTGTCAAATGTTAATAAGAGTCATTAAAAAGTAAACACTGGAGATTAGTGTGTCTGTAGAACTCAGGATTAAGAAAAACTAAACTGGTTTCTTCATTACATAACCTTTAGCATGATGCCCAATATGGAATGTGTTTGATAGAGGAGAGAACACAGGCTTCTCAAAGTTGGGGACCATGGAACTCCCAGAGTAGAGTGTTAACCATGTTTGGGACAAAAGAGCTGAAGTTGTCAACATTTAAAAAAAAAATTAACAGTTTTTGCTGGATCAAGGCTTTAGTCTCCAATCATTTGTCCCTTCGGAGAGCCAGAGAGTAGTGAGGCAGCACATGGAAGGAAAGCTGCCTGCTCGCTTGTTGCCAGGATGCCATGGCTAAGAGAAAGAAGCCAAGATACCAGTCCCCTCCTAGGACCAGACAACCTCCTTCCTACCTCTTTAATGTTCTACTGCCTCTCAGTGACTCCATGGCTGGAGTTCAAGCCATCTACAGATAACTTCCTTGGGGTCCATTCAAGATCTAGTACAGGGTATCTTTCAAAACCAGTGTTATGGTTTGAATCTGAAACCACCCCAACCATATCATATTCTGAGCAACAGATTCCCAGATGGGGGTGCTATTTTGGAGACTACAGGGCCTTTAAGAGATGGGTACGGCTGGCAGATGTAAGTCACTAGAGTTGGGCCTTGGTGAATTAATTACACAATCACACCCTTGGTTCCTGCCTGCTTTCTCTGACTCAATAAACTATTGCAGGAGGGATCTCCGGGACACATTCTAGTTGGCTTGAACTACATACTTTCCCCCTACCCTGGACACAAAAACTTCTGAAACCAAGAGCAAAAATAAATCTTTCTTCCTTGGTGTTGCCGTGTCCAGTGATGTCTCATGGGGATACAAGGACAGCTAATATAGCTGGGGTTACTGGGAACAGACTCTGGAAAGGACCACCTTGAATATATAATGTCACTAACCCAGACCTGGCATGAACTTGCACCAAGTCTCCTGCTTCTGCCACCAAGTGCTGGGACAACAGCCATGAGTCACCTGGTCAATAAATTGTATTTTTCCAGAAAAATCAAATGAAAAAAAAAATTACACACACACACACACACACACACACACACACACACATAAATACATATATATATATATATCCTATATAAAATATATAGACATATATTTTTAT